TTTTACCTTTCTGATGCATTATCCACCATGGGATTTGCTATCGAACTTCTGACCAAAAAAGTGCACTGGTCGTCACCATCATGGATAATACAACAAACAACAAATGTGGCAAACAACAAATACAGCATTGGGACTTGCTCAACAGCCGATACCGCACCGTGACGTCACAAACCAGTTGGTGGCTGTAGTGTTCTTTGACGAACATGGATGTCTCCAGTAAAGCACATTCAAATCAAAACTACTTTTAATTAAAAACACGTATCATTTATTGAAAAGTATTTAATAATTTCGTACTTAAAGTACTTTCTGAAGTTTTAAGTCTGACTGTGTCAGGACTTTTCCTCTAAACATTTAAACTGTTAGATGTTTGCTCAACAGATCTGAACGAGGTTAAAAAAAGGAACTGTTTAAATAAAGCTGTAAGAAATCTGGATTGTGTCACAACATGCATTTAGCATGTAGCTCTGCTCAATGTGCTCTGTGGAAAAAGGCACGTCAGGTAAGACAGGTGGAGCTAAATGCAGGAGAATCCTGGAGAAATAATCCATCAGAGGCTGCAGAAGAGGAGTGGAGATTCTCCTTTCAGCAGGACAATGGTCTTAAACACACAGAGGATTCAAATGGGATTAAATCAATCCGATCAGATTCATGTGTCAGGAGGATTCAGTCAGTTTTAAACCAAATTTAAGAACCTGGGGTGGGTCTTAAAAAACTGATGTTCACAGAGCTTCTCTATTAACTTTAACCGAGATAGAGCTATAATGCAAATAATGGAAAACTAATGTTCTAGTTGTTCAAAACCCGGCAGAGCTTTTTATTTTTATTGGTTTCACTGTAATGTGAAACATTGCGAAAAGAAAGAAAAAGTGCTGATGGGTGAGATTCCTCCAAAGATGGCGTTGAGACTGAAGCCGATCAGTTATTGATGAATCGCTTGTTTGTTTCTGCAGGAAAGAAGAACAGGAGGTTTGAGTGTCCCGAGGAGTTTGTGTCGTTCTGCCACGTCCCCTGCAGGAGCACGCTGGCAGACAATCTGAGGAACAACCAGAACGAGTTGTGGCTCATTAAAGCTCCTGCCAGCTTCGACCCTCAGCGGTGGGTACAGCCTGTGCTCTTTGCATCTGCTCATCCTACTTGTACCAACTTTTACGAGAACTTGGATTGGAAAGGAGCTCGGCCCTTGCAGTCTTTGGCGTTGTTGCTTTTCAATTAAACTACAATGTTAAAATCCTTTCACAGCTCGGTCAGGGATGATCGAATAAACGTTCTGCTTTTGTCAAATAGCTGATTTTAAACCTTTATATAGAGCTGTAACGGCTGAGGGAATAAGAAGCACCAGTTTCAATCAAAGCGGTCAGAAATAATTTAATCTTTCAAGTCCACAGCGTTCCAACGTTATGACCAATAAGTCTATATCAATAAAGAGCGTGCTCTTTTTGGAGGACTTAAATGAAATCAACCCAAATCAACTTCTCCATTAGCAAAGTTTCGTTTGATATTAATGGTCTGTTACAGGATTGTTTTTCTGTATATTATCACTCCCACAACGTTCTGCTCATTTATAGATCCCCCCCAATAAAGGGGCGTAAAGTCGGGCTTACACTGTAAGTTTTTTTTGGCCTTTTTGGGCCGACTTTCCAGTCATGTGAGAGTTTTTCGATCGCATGACTGGAAAGCTTGATTGTGCGTCGTGCGTTGTTTACTATACAGGGGGTGATGAGGGGTGATCAGCCTGTCACGACCATCTCCCGATCAGGAATTGTGAGGTCATTAGAAAATCAAACATATTTGAAATTCAGTCGGCCATGGTGGCCAAATTGCCCAGTGGGCAAACAAGGATTCTTCTTCTTCCTCTCAGGTGAAAACATAAAAGTATCACAGGGGTGTGAGTGACATGGAGTTCTTACTGTAAAATTGACAGACCATAGTAGCCATATTTGCTCAGCCATGTCTTTGTCCAAATACGTCGTCGCCTTTTCTTTTTAGGGCTTTCAGCACAAAATTGCCCAAATTGCCAAGGCAGCGCGTTTCACTCTAGTGAGCTTCATATTCCTCTTCTACCCGTTTGGCTTTCAGGTAGACGAGTCCGAGTAGCGCCACCTCACTGCGGAGCAGAGTTGGACGTGGTTTCTAGACGTACAGTGTGAGCAGATTGCATCAGAGCGTCGGGTCACACAGTGTCAGAACAAATATCATGAGCTGTAGCTGCGTGCAACGATTGAAAAAAATCGCGAAGTGTATGCCCAGCTTAACAATCTTTCCTGGCTGGACTCCGTTTGAAAAAGGCCCCCCAACCGTAGCCTCTTTCCACTGAAACTGGCGCGTTAAACAGTTTTGTTTTTTTTCCAAACACGCGTCGACCCGCTAACAATCATCATTTGGTTCCCTTCCCACTGCCAAAAAAAGCTGGGTTCTAGTCGCTCACTGGCAGCTGGGTGGCCTCTGGTCTCCACGGCTACGTGGCTGGTGACACCATTATCCTGGGTTAGCGTTGATGATGTCATCAGTGCAGCAGAAATCAGAAAAGTAAACAATGGAGAGCAACGTGGAAGGAAGCCAGGGCATAGGGCATGGTTTCGCTGTATTATCCCCCTCACTAGTGCTGCTCCATGTTTATCAAATGCAAACACATGTTTCAGCTTCTTAGATCAGAAGTGACTGTTGAGGTTCGTTGAGGTCCATATGTTGCGTTCAATGGTGTCAGGTAATTTAGCGGGTCTGGTGTTCCTACAGCATGCTGAGTCGAGGCGATTTTAACGCCGGTCACTCGCTGAGTTGTTTGACCCGAGTAGAAACGCGTCAGCGAGCTCTTCCCACTGCCACTAAAAGCCGCATGTTCCCAGATTCAAACAGGTTCTTCACCCAGTGTGAAAGGGGCTTAAGAGTCACACTGTTGGCATTATGGAGGTTAGGACTTTATGCTGCCATCTGCAGCAGGAAAGTGCTCTGATTTTCTATTTTTATTTTTTTACATTTTACTGTATAGAAAGGACATTTGACTGTTTCTCTTTTCCTTTGATTACCCAGATTTCTAATAGTAAACAAGGACAGAAAACCATATTTTTATTTTCCCTTAACCACTGCAAAATATGTGGCTCTTTGCGAAGCTCTCCATCCAGATGCGACCACATCTGGTACCAGTCCAGGCACAGAGGTTGATGCAGATGTCTCATGTTGATCACCAGCGGTTGACTTAAGGCCTGAACACACCGAATCCAATTTCGTATCTGATCCAACAGAAAATCGCGTCAGATGTGGCGTTTAGCGCTCATTGAAAGTGAATGGGGATGATCCCACCCGACACGATTTTATGCAAGGGGCCTGCTTAGGTCTGACTGAGATAGACTCCAGGTCTGTTTTAGTGGGACTACGTAGCAATTTAGCTGCAATTTCATTGGTGTGACAGGAAGAGAGATGCAGTTCCAAAGTAAAACACATCCGCTTTGGGAGAACATCCCAAATAAAATATGTTAATCGCACAGGGAAAGGGTCAGTTTTGGAGTTGCACATCGCGTATATAAAAGGCGGGACAGACTCATGCAAAAACAATCAATGAAACATAAAAAAATAATACTTAACCCACGATAGTTCAGTAGGACAGATAACGGATAAAGTGGTGATCCTCTTTGAGCTCGCCAAAACATGGGACAGAAAACGCAGTTTATCACTCTCCTCGAAAAAAGAAATATCTTCACGTGGAGAAAAAACGGATATA